AATTTTATTGATAAAACCTTTACAATTATAGCCGATATCTTATTACGAGTCATTCCGACAACTTCCGGAGAAAAAGAGGCATTTACTTATTACAGAGATGGTGCGATTTGATTATCATTATTTTTTTTCTCGCCGATTTGGAATAGAAAGAAAAACGAGTATTGAAAAAAATCTACGCTTTTGAAGGTGAAGTTTATAATATAAAAAAGCAATCCCTTCTGTCATGTATCCACGATTAATGCAGCCTTAGATGCTTCAATTGTGAATTCTAGTATTGAGCAAAAGGTTTTTACCTATGGTTCGTTCCCGTATTACAGATCAATCCTACTACACTAATACAATATACGAATAGGAGGCATAGGGGAAGAAGCACTACGCCGAGAAATCAACAACACGAAAACTTTCTTCAAAATGATTCCTTTTCTTTCTTCTTCTTTGGGATTGGGACTAATTAAAATGGTTGGAACAATAAACATCCATCTCGTTCGTACTTTGGATACCCGTATAACCATTGAAGACTGTTGAAGTGACTAATTCCTGGAAATTTAGGGGCGTTGAGAACAAAGAAATTTTTAGAGTTTCCTTTTTTATTTTTATCTAGCATGAACCCACTTGGTAGTAAGAAAAGATCTTTTGCAAGAAGGTTGGCTAGGAATTTCTTGTAAAAACATTAGCCCCGCTTAGTTCATAATGACATCAAATTTTTCCATATATTATTTTCATTATGCACTTAAAGGAGGAGCCGTATGAGATGAAAATCTCACATACGGTTCTGAAACGGAGAATTCGTTAAAGCGAATGACGACCGTAACGGATGTCGGCTCAATCTGAAGGAAATTATGCGGAAGCATTACAGAATTATTATGAAGCTATGCGACTAGAAATTGACCCCTATGATCGAAGTTATATACTCTATAATATAGGCCTTATCCACACAAGTAATGGGGAACATACTAAAGCTTTAGAATATTATTTTCGGGCATTAGAACGAAACCCCTTTTTACCACAAGCTTTTAATAATATGGCTGTGATCTGCCATTACGTGCGACTATCTCCACTATAGAAAAAAAGAACGAACGCTAGTCAATGAAATACTAGAAACAAAAAAAGGGCTTTCTACATAAGCATCATCCAAAACGATTTTTTATCAGCTGTAGCAAATAAATAAACTTCATAGATCGAAATATGAAGTGAAGACTAGATATGCCTAAATACCTATGGATAAAAAAAGATTTAATTGATAGAGGAAGCACCGTAAAGATCAATTGGAAGGGTTTTTGACCAATACAACAAGAGCTGTTTATTTATATCATAATATGAGATAAATCTTAGGAATCTACTTATGTAATAGAGTGGATCCCCTAAGGTATTGAGCAGCGGTGTAGCATCAGATCCTAAAGACAGTAAGTCTTTTTCTTTTTTATGAAGTATGAAAAAAGTCTTTTTCAAAGATTCTATATAAATTTTTATATGAAAGCGGGATAGTTACCTTTCAGAAAATTCTAATATCTAATAACAGTGGACATGCTTTTTTTTCTGAAGGTAGGAGAAAAGATAAAACTTATTATATTAATTAATATATTAATTAAAAATCTATTAATTAAATCAAAATGAAAGTTTGAAACTCGTGTAATTACTCTCTTTTGTTTAATCCAAGAAAAACCGAAAGAACTCTCATTCAACATTCAATTAGAGATAAAGTGAAAGTAGGTTAAAAAACTGGTACACTAAAACAAAAGAGTTGGTTGTCGAGCCGTATGAGGTAGGAAACTCTCAAGTACGGTTCTCAGGGAGGGAATTGACACGCCTATTCCGACCGTGGAGAACAGGCCATTCAACAAGGAGATTCTGAAATGGCGGAGGCTTGGTTCGCTCAAGCCGCCGAGTATTGGAAACAGGCTATAACGCTTACTCCTGGTAATTATATTGAAGCACAGAATTGGTTGACGATCACGAGGCGCTTCGAATAAGAACTTTTCCTTTGTTTCTTTTTTTTTATTCTATATATATCTTTATTTGTTTTTACAATTAATCGTTTTTTAGTTTCTTGGCCCTCTCGGGCAAATAAAACAGATCCTGTTTTTTCTATCAAAAGAACCAATAAAAGAAAAAAAATTTCATTATATCCTTTTCTCAAATCGTTCTATTTCATCTGGTATTCTCTAGGGGTAAGTAGTACATGAATATGAGAATATCTCGTTTTTTCCATTTTTTCTTTTCTACTATTAAATATTAAAACCAATAAACGAGATTTGAAAATAATTAAATATCAATACTAGAATGTTTCTTAGTAATGACTAATTAAGCGTTTATTGAAATAGAACAATATCCTCTATTTAAAACATAAAAAATAGGCTAAAGTTCGGAACTTATAATTGAAATCTGAATACACTAGATTAGGTTATAAAAAAAACTCTTTGTATACCAATGTAAAGGCGCGAAAACTTTTTTTAATTAAAAAAGGGTCCGTTGAGCACCCTATG